GTTACTGTGATGCTGATTTTGCAGGAGACCCGGATGATAGAAAATCTACTAACAGGTTCATCTTCCTTCTGGGAGGATGAGTCATTTCTTGGGCAAGCAAAAAGCAAGGCTGTGTAACCAAATATACTATGGAAGCTGAGTTCATAGCTTGCAGCACAGCAACATCAGAAGGAATTTGGATAAAAAGGTTCTTGGAAGAATTAAAAATACCAGGTGCACCTGAAGGATCTATCAGAATGTTCAATGATAATGAAGCGGCCATCAAGATGATAAAAAATGGAGAAATTGGTCCAAAAGGAAAACACATTGACTTGCAATACCGGTATCTTCATGATATCTACCAACGGAATGAGATCCTAGTAGAGCACATGCCGACGAATGATATGGTTGCTGATCCATTGACAAAGCCCATTGGGATTAGTGATTTTAAAAGGCATGTGGTGTCAATGGGATTGAGAAGCAACCAAACATCTCGGGCCTAACTAGCCAAGTGGGAGATGTTGGAACAGGTGGCCATAGGCCCTCGATTTGGAATCCTCAATGTGTAGGAGAATCCACTGGCCATGTGAAAAGCCACACGTTGATGGAGTAGCTTAATGATATCATCTTTGTGAACACAATACAACACACACCAATTATAATTTTTGTTMTATGTTATTATTTATTTTCTAGTATAAATAAATAAATATGTTTTTTATAAACTATTTTTGACTTGTTCACAGGGTGGTTATTGGGTCTAAGTTGGATCCATTTCAGCTTTTGACTAGCTTTTGACTAAGTCAGCAAGAGGATGTTTGGCTTAGAATGGGTTGAGTGATCATGTGGTTTAAAATCATGATCATTGAGACACTTGTATCAATCCGAAGGGGTAGAACAAGATAAGTGTTGGTGAGTAAATCTTTTGCAGTGACTCTTATCTCCTTTTTTCATAGGAGAGACGTTGTGGCAATGGCCTATAAAAGGGAATGTGCAGAAGTCACAAAGCCCTCCCCAACAAAATTATTCACTTTATTGGAAGGCTATCAAAACCTCCAACAAGGTTCTGCCTAATTCGGATTGTAGCTTTGTGAAGTATAAGATTGTGTTCAAGTATTGTCGGATCCATCAAGTTCAAGTGGAGTTACTCTTTATTTGCAGCTTTTTATTTACACTTTATTTTGTCTCTATTCTGTTGTAGTTTTTCAGTCGGCACCCCTCTCGTTCTTTGAAACCGCTGCAATCGCCACTTTCTCTGGCGCTCTTCTCCGAAATCGATGCCCTTCTCCAGAACTACAGAGGTCGGCGCTCCTCTTTACTTCTCAAGGCATGCACACTCAAATCATCACCATGACGCCAACGAGGCCAGAACTATAGATCTCTCAGAACCGCCGCTCTTCTCCGGCGCTTTTCTCCGAAATCGATGCCCTTCTCCGGAACTACAGAGGTCGGCGCTCCTCTCATTCTCTTTGGAACCGCTGCAACCACGGCTCTTCTCTGGCGCTCTTCTCAGGATGGCCTCCTAACTAACAACAGGGCAGATGTGGACTGGCGAAGCCTCCACTGCGACAGAAGAGAAGAAACCCGCAGTTTTCGATGACTCTCGCCGCTTGTTCTTGCGATTGTGGTTCGTGGTGTTCCGAGTTGGTTGTGCCCAGTAGACTCCCATTTGGGAGCGATCCAAAACAAGGAGAAAACCTTTTTTCAAATGTTAGATTCAGCTGAGATCCAACAGCCAAGCAGCCAAGCAGTCTACCTGGTTAAACTCCCATTTACCGAATCACAACAGCCAAGCAGTCTACCTGGTTAAAGGTTGTCGTGATCCTATCCTAAATGTGTCGCAAATTGTGTGATCTGTCCATCTGTGGATGATCAACTGCTGCACTTCCTTTTCAGGTTTGTGGAAGATAAAAAGGTATAACGAGTTGCGGCTACAACGGATTGGAAAACAAGAGAGAGAAGCGATGGAGAAAACGAAGGTCGTGTTCGTTCCAGTATATGGAGTTGGTCACCTGTTCTCGACGGTTGAGCTCGCAAAGTGACTTATCCATCGAGATGATCGCCTCTCCATCACCGTCCTGTGTATGAAGCCACCATCTTTTTCCGATGTTGACCCTTACGTTGAATCCCTTGCTGCCTCCAACCCTAGCATCCGTTTCATTGGTCTGCCGCAGGTTGATCCCCCGTCGCCGGAAGTTTATAATGGTCAAGATGGGTTCATATCCCTCTTCGTTGAAAGTTACAAACCACACGTTAGGCACGCTCTCACCCACCTTATGTCGCCCGGTTCTAATGCTGACACGGTTCGAGTCGCTGGGATGGTGATTGATCTCTTCCGCACCTCCATGATCGATGTAGCGAACGAGTTCAGAATCCCTTCGTACTTGTTCTTCACTTCTACCGCAGGGCTGCTCGATCTTATGCTCCACCTTCCAACACTCGATACTCAGATTCCCACTGGCATCGAGTTAAAGGACGCGGAGACTGAGTTAAAATTCCCAACCTGTCAACCCAGTTCCTCCGTTCTCCTTGCCTAAGTCCTTGTGGAACAGGAAGGAAGATGGCTATACATGGTTCGTCTAACACAGTCGCAGGTTCAAGGAGGCGAAGGGCATCATAATTAACACATTTGCAGAGTTTGAATCCCATGCCGTTAACGCGCTGTCTGATGGTCAAACACCAGCGATTTACCCGGTTGGGTCGTTGCTTCAACTCGAGGGTCTGTCGCACTCGTTGTCCGACCGCACCCGCACCCACACCCAATACAGCGAGATCATGAAATGTCTCGAAGACCAGCCTCTGTAGTCGGTGGTGCTCCTGTGCTTTGGCAGCATGGGCGGCTTTGATGAAGCCCAGGTAAAAGAGATAGCCATTGGCCTCAAGCGAAGTGGGAGAAGACAGATGAGAGGAAAGGTTTAACAGCAACGGCAGATCTGAGTGAGAGTTAACGAAAGGGTAAAAACGTAAAATCAATTTTTCTGTCCCCATTTAACGATAATGACAACCGTCGTAAAACTTAAGGGTACAACAAGAGAATAGCAAAACAGTAGGGGTACGGCATGTCATTACGCTAAATAGTAGGGATAGTTTAAGAGATTTATCCATTTTTTAATTTATTAAATTTATTATATATATAAATTCATATATAATATAATATATAAAATATATTTTTATAATTTTAAATATAATTATATTAAAACTAATAAGTATTATATTATAATCAAATTTGGATTTTAATGGGATCAGATGGTCAAATCCAAATGTGATCTGATTATTAATCAGATGTAGATTGTAACATCTGAATTCGATCCGATTACATATATACACCATCCAAATCCAAAATAATTTGGATCAGATGTTGAATCGGGCATTTGATTTTCTGATATTATTGACAGGCCTACATAGGGTTTGGTTTGATTCGGATTCCTTAATATTTCTTTCATATTGGTTTCTTCAATTCTACACAGACCCAACACGTTTACAGCCCTACTGCCATTAAAATATTGCATTAAATAGTTTTAAGGGGTTGCAACTTTGGACGAATCCACAGATATCAAACTAACCAAGTCCAGTTCAGGTTAGACCCAGTCGAAAGACCCTATGTGACGCAGCGTGGAAGCAACAAACCGGGCTGGCTATGCAAGTACCGGGCGAACACAAGGCTTCGTAGTAAAGCCGGTTAGAGCTATACATGAATCTCTAGAAGAGAGAGGAAAGTTGGCGAAAACTCGAATGTGTCTAATAGCTTGGAAATAACAGTATTTATAATACATCCGGAAAATTGTAGAGTAACTAAGAACGAAAAAGTTGTAAGTGATCTAAACATCTACTCTTCTAGCTAGGATCGAAGTCTTCTTTGAGGTTGCCTTGATCTCCACCGTCCAATCTCCCTAGTTCTATCCATGCATGGGTTATCTGATCTTCTTGGAATTATCTTTATCCTGCATGTACCTCTTATCCTATGAGCTGTCGCCTAGATGATGGGCTGGCCCTCCATCACTATGGGCTTTGGTTTGAAATTAGTTCTGGACATTCTCATCATGTAGGGATTGGGTTTACCATGTCCTGAACTAGATTCAACCTACATAATTTGTTTTTAAATGCATACCTACATCTACATCTACATATGTTCATATTTTAAATCGAACCTTTACAGGTTGGATTTGAGCTAACCCAGCACAAGTTGTAACCTTAGTATTTTAGTGGTCTTGTTTTATAGAAAATGAAGTGGCTGAACTACTCAATTGTTTATTGCAATGTCTTTTATTGAATAAAGTTGAGGTTGGATTGATTATTATAAAAATTATTCCAAGATTTTATTGACAGTGGGTAATTAACAGAAAACTGTGCCTAGTTTTTCTCAAACATTTTTATAGCAGAAAACAAAGACGGAAGAACACAGGAAAGAGAGCGAACTAATTAACTTCCACGAAACAGTCAACTGGTTGGCTACATACCCATTAGCCTCTCATTGAATTTTTCAGCAGTCGCGCGGTAGCTAGTCAAAACTGAAGCACCCTCGTCGTTTCAAAATTAAACAGAAACCTCCCGGTGATTTCAATTTCCAAACATTGAACTTTCTCAATCAACTACAGATTACAGACTTCATCGGATGCTATAATTTACTTCTGGGTGTTATTATTTTGGACATACTCCATTATTAATTGTTCTTTATGCAAATTACTTTTTGACTATTAATTATGGGTCTACACAAAACACCAATTTTTTCTTTTGTTTTTGTTTTTGCTTTTCACAAGGCGGGACTATTTTCGCGTCTGAAAGCATTAATTGATGGTCTTAGTTGTCCAATTTTGAATGGTAGAGCGCGTTGAATTTATTCTCTCAACCTCTCCATATATACCATATTTTGGTCTGAGGAAGACGCAGTCATCTTTGGCATGAAATTAATTAATAAAAAGTAGTGAGTGATGGAAGGGACCCAGTCTCTCTTATTGCTAATTAGGAATTCAGGCTTTTATAAGATGCTGTCTAGCTAGATCGCCACAACCTTGCATTAGAAGTTCAGAACAACCATCCCTCCTCCCCAAAAGTAGAGAAGGAATTCTTGTTTCAGGCTTTAATATTTCTTTCTCCCATGGAATTCTCTAGCACTAAGAGTTCAAATTATCATACAATCTACCATGTTCACAAGCTGACAGTATGGGATATATTTAAGCTCTTAGTGTCGTGGAGAAGCGTAGAAAGTTATCAGTTTGTACAGCACTGTCATGAGCCTAACGATTCTGATGAGAATTTCATGAATAAGGCTGGTTGGTTTACTGTTCTAGTCTGGATGCTGCAGAAGATGTTGATATGGTTCCATGGACCATTAAAAACACTGGGTCATCTGGTGGAAGCTATCTTGAATTTGGTTTCTCGAAATGGAGGCATTGTGCAGTTGTTTCTGAAGACTATATCAGGTATTCACTTGTTTATCCATTGAATAGTTGATAATTTCTCATCAATTCCAATTAATCACTCCGACATTAAACAATTCAACAGCTCTCTCTCTCTCTCTCTCTCTCTGTGCATCATAATTAATTGATTCGTGCAATTGTTTTTCTTTGTGAAGGATCACTTCCGAAACCCATAAAAGAAAACTCAAAAGATTTCCAGTCATTTCTCGCCCATGTAGATGGACGGAAGGATCTCTACAAAGCGTCTTCCGGCCTTCTTAGCTCTCTACCGGCGGAGATAGACGAGAACACCATTAAGGATATAAATGTTCAAGACCTCTGCATGATGGCAGCAAAAGTAGCCTACGAGAACAAAGCATATGCCACAGTCGTGGTTAATAAACACTGGAAGGTAATTCCCATTCCCAATACTCTCTTTCAAGCAATATATTATAACCTCTCTCTCTCTCTCAACTCAGAGTAGCTAATTCTTGGTGCCTTGAGATGGCATCAGATCTTGTTGATCAAGTCGTCTGGTGTTCAATCCTTATTACCCCGATTATAATTAATAAAATTTTAGCACAAGTACGGGTAGGTTTATGCTTGTCTATACTTCAAGTCCAATAAGCTTTCGCGTGATGGAGTGTGTTAGAAAATAAAAGCCTTGCTTATATTTTTAAGTTGAACGGTTCATTGAGATAGACCAATCTCAGCCTCACTATTGATTAAGGGTAGAAAAAATAACAAACTAAGTTCATTCCATATTCTGGTCTAATAATAATTGTGGTTTTATTTTATGCAGATGCACCTTGGGGGATTCTTCCAGTTCTATAATGGTAAGCCCGTTCACCTTATCTCTGAATTTTAAGATCCCAGTTGGGTTGATTTGGCCCAAGTTTACCAAGCCTGACCAGGTTAATTAATGGACTTGGATTAATTGGTCAGCTATGTCAGCTGAGATCTTTTCCCCTCTTGACATTAATTGCACTAATAAGCTGATATACATTCTTCTCTTTCCAACTTCTGTGCTGCAGATTATACGAAAAAGAATGATACCCAAGCTTTCATATGCTGTGACAAGCCAAAGAAGGTTCGGTTGATCATTGTCTCATTCCGTGGCACAGAGATGTTCAATGCTGATGACTGGTTGACAGACCTGGACCTTTCTTGGATCTCTTTCGGTGGAATTGGAAGAGTTCATTTAGGATTCATGAAAGCACTTGGCCTACATGAAGATGAAACGAATGGAATTCGGCCAAGGGAGTATTCTGGGGAGAACAATCTGGCATACTACACCATAAGACAGAAGCTGAGAGCATTGCTGGAAGAAAACCCAGATGCCAAGATCTTAGTGACAGGACATAGCTTAGGTGGTGCCCTTGCAATCCTGTTTGTTTCTGGACTTGTGTATCACCAGGAAGCTGCCTTGCTGAACAGCTTGCTGGGTGTCTACACATTTGGGCAGCCCAGAGTTGGGGATGAGAGTTTTGGGAGATTGATGGAAGCAAAGTTGAAGCAGAAGTACTTCAGAGTTGTGTACAGATATGACATTGTTCCCAGGTTGCCTTTTGGTGACCCCATTACACAGTTTGCCCACTTTGGAAATTGCATCTACTACAGTAGCTGGTACAAGGCACAGGTGTTGAGAGAAGAACCAAATGAGAACTACATCAATCCTTTCTTCCTCATTCCCATGCATTTCAATGCTTGCTTGGACCTGCTTAGAGCCTTCTATGTGGGTAGGAAAGGGAAAAGCTTTGAGGAGAATTCCCTATCTTTGTTTGTTAGGCTTATAGGGATTCTGGTTCCTGGTGTGAGTAGCCACTTTCCTAGGGACTACATCAATAGCGCAAGGCTGAGCACAACAATTGACCAAGCAGAAGAAGAGAGAAAAGATGATTGATTGATTCTAAAGGGTTTTCATTTTTTTTTTCCTCTGCAAATAAGGGTTTTAATTGTAAAGGGTTTTAATTATTTAATTCAAAATCCGCATTCGATATTGATTTGAATTTATTGCTGCATTTCCTGTAAGATATATTAGAATAGTTTATTGTTTTCATCGGGTTGGACATCTTATCAACCACCAAACTGGGTAGTATAGCGGGTTATATTTAAACAATAAAAAAAAAACAAAATAACATGAATATATATCAAAATTTCTAATTATTTAATTGAAACATGTGAAAAATACATAAACTATCTATTATCTTTCGCATAAGATTCAAAACATTATTAAATTTAATATATAATACATAAGCTTACAATAACACCGTACCCGATCTCAATCTTATTTTCACGCATTTGTAAAAAAGTAGATTTTTGCTTTTAAACTTTAGACAGTTAAAAAGAACTTTTTGTTTTTACTTTTCAGATTTCAGTTTTATCAAAGACTAYCAAATTCAAATTCAATCGGATTTAAAATATATGCTTATATATACTTAAATTTATGTTTTTTTCAATAAAATTGATTTAAATATTATATTTTTACAAGTGATAGGTTCATGTTATATATATATATATATATATATATATATGTTCCCGCTTTGCAAAGTTTGACGAGAATATGTTATTCTTGATTATATATACTTTTGCATCACAAACAAACAGATTTAACTGGAGTTAGTATTTCGCTGATTCTCTTCGTGTAGCAAAAGAAATTGAAGGAATTTAAAAATAAAGTATTAGAATTGAACAACTCATTGCCGGAAAAAGAAATAAGAACTCAACCCAATTCCGAAATCAGAACTATTTAGAAAAGCTCAATAATTCAGTACAAAGTCGTCGTACCAACTCATTCACAAAGATCAATAAAAGTTCATCAGTTAAAGCCTGCGCTGAGATATTCAAATCAATGTCATCGTCTTATTTTTCTGGATTTTATTCTCTTCGATTGATTGATGGTGGATCCAGTTGTCTTTCATTCTCATGGCGGCCAAAGCAACTGAAAAAAGATGGTATCGTGTCTCTTTCGGGGATTCAAGCCATATAAGATGCTCTGTATCAGAATTGCAAGAACTCACCAACCCCTTAATTAGTTGGATCTTCTTCTTCTATTCTTATTCCATGGCTGCATGCAATGAGACCATCAATCTTCTTGAGAATCCGAATGCTGGCTGGTTTATTGTTCTAGTCTGCAAGATCCAGAAGATTTTGCTACTTTTGAGTGGACGATTGAAAAGAATGGGTGACAAACTGGAGTTCACTTTGAATTTGGTTTATCTTAATGGTGGCATTGTACATATGGTTTTGAGGACTATATCAGGTATATTTACTCAATCATGTATATCTTTCTTGAGCAGTTCATCCGGTGGACTTGCATTTACATTTTACTTAATTAGTAACTTACCTGTATTTCTGCATCAAGTGATTGATAATTTCTCACTTGTGTAGGGCTGCAAATTGGATTGAATATGGATATATATATCCATACCCTAAAATTTAATATGATATTATTCAATTCAATTTATATTTATGCATGTACATATTTAAAATTTGGGTTCAACTATGATACCGGAAAAACTTACAACCAATCAACCGGCCGGGATCATAAAGATGGCCAATTAGGTGGGTTTTTATTCACGGAGGGTTCTGATTCAGAGCCTTTCAGGTATACCATGTCTTTCTGGCATCATAGATTTTCCCTTAAGTTTTATATATTGCATTTATCAGTAAAATTGGTTTGAATGTTGTATTTTCATAGTTCAATATTCATACAAGTTCCTTTCAATTCATTTTGAAAATAATTGAATTTGAATCAAATTTGAATCTAGGTATATCCAATTTGATCCGATCCATTCACAGCCCTACACTAGTAATTCCCAACCGAGGCTCTGAAGATTTCATGTCACTTGTTAGCCTTGTAGATGGACGAACTGAACTCCATAGATCAGTTTCAGGGCTTCTTAGTTTTCCATGGGCGGAATTGGACGAGAGGACTATCAATAGAATCAATACTCAAGATCTTTGCATCATGGCAGCAAAAGTAGCTTATGAGAACAAAGCATATGTGCACAAGGTGGTCACTAAACATTGGAAGGTAATCTTACTAATTGCTGTTTTATATAAGAAATTTAACTAAGAATTAAAAGAAGTATGTTGTTTTTTTTTTATATTTTTCCTGTTATTTTTATACTTTTTWGAGCCTGGTTATTTTCATATGTTGAAACTTAGATTTCTAGAATCAAGTTTTTGGAAACCTAAATAGATAATCAAAATGTAAAAAAATAAATGAAGGAAAAAAGAGATTACTTCAGCTTAATTTGCACAAATATGAAAAACAAAGGGAAAATATTACATCACTATGAAAACTTCTAAACAATAAAGTGGAAGGTATGTACCATGCCTGGCACATAAACAAGAAGAGAGAAAAATAAGTATTCTAAACATTCAACAAAGAAACAAAATTTTGTCAAGTTCAATGGGCTATAAAAAATTGGTCCAAAGATTAAAAAACAAATCTGTTATCAGAAAATGGAGGAGCTTCTGCAGCCTTTACAGCATCTTTTGTGATTATTCAGTTGATGTTTGAGTGTTGGAACTTGTAAAAGTGGATTAAAATAACTGCAAATTGCATTCCATGGTTCTAATTATGGCTTTACTTTTATATGCAGATGCATTTGGTGGGGTTCTTTGAATTCTATAATGGTAAGGCCCTTGATGATCACTCTCTTTGTATATCTTAAAACCCCAAAACAGAAAGCAAAAAATAAAAAAAATAAAAAAAATAAAAAAAAATAAAAAAATTACTTTAGGCATGTGCATTCTAAAAAACCGTTTAACTTAAACATGCTTTTAAGCCAATTTTATTATAATTTTTCAACTTTATTTTATTATTTTATATATAAACAAGTGCATACATCAAAATTCATATGAAATAATTAATTTTATGGATTGTCACAGAATGCTCAATGAACTACGATACCCAAGCTTTCATATTCTGCGACAGGAAAAGTAGCATTCGATTAATAGTTGTAGCATTCCGTGGCACAGAAATCTTCAATGCCGCGGATTGGCTGACCGACCTCGACATCTCTTGGGCCTCCATCCCTGGAATTGGAAAAGTTCACCAAGGATTCATGAAAGCCCTGGGCCTTCATCAAGCTGAAACCAATGGAGTTGGGTCAAGGAAGCATGCAGAAGCTGGGAACAAAAGCTTGGCATACTACACCATAAGAGAAAAGCTGAAGAGATTGCTGAAAAGAAACCAAGCCGTGAAGATACTAGTAACAGGACACAGCTTGGGTGGTGCACTGGCAATCCTGTTTGTTGCTAAACTTGTGCATGAAAAGGAAGAAGCCATATTGAACAAATTGTTACGTGTTTATACCTTTGGGCAGCCCAGAGTTGGAGATGAGACATTCAGAAGCTCCATGGCTAGAAGGTTGAAAGGGAAGTACGTGAGAGTGGTTTATAGATATGATATTGTTCCTCGGTTGCCTTTTGGTTCTCCCGTTACACCATTTGCCCACTTTGGAAAATGCATCTACTACACCAATTGRTATCAGAAACAGGTAAGCTGATAAGGGTTTCCACTCCAGTGTTTGGCAAGAATTTTTTTTGGGAAATTGTCTAAAAGTCATCATGAGTTTTCAATGTTTTTCTTAAACTCACCACAACTTTTTAAGATGTCTAAAACTCACCATGTCAATAAGTTTTTATTTTCCAAAACTCACCTTTCATTAGTGCACCCTTAATGCTTCTTAAAAGAGGGGTCCATGTCAACATAAATAACAATTTTCATGACCAAATTACTCTTGAATAGTGAGTTAGAGGAAAAATGGTCTTTTTCAGTTTTCAACTTTTCTTGTTTTTTTTTTTTTGCATTTTTAATGTTTTGTTACAATTTTCAATTTTTTTATAATTTCTATTTTTTTACATTTTTTTAATTTTCTACAATCTATAAATTTTCCTGTACTTTTGTTATTTGTTTACAATTTCTGTGTTTTTCTATAATTTTTTGTGTTTTTCTACACTTTTTTTCTGATTTTGTTTTTCAATTTCTATAGTTTCTATAATTTGAAAATAATTTTTAGTTTGTTTGCAATTTCTATAATTTTTTATATTTTTTGTAATTTCTATGTTTTTACGTATTTTATATTTGAAAATATTTTTTTGAACTTTTTCCTTTTTTCATGTCTAAATATTAAAATGGTAATATATTAACACCCATTAATTTATTTTGTATATATTTTATATTTTATATTTTCTATGAAGGTTAAAATGGTAATATATTACCGCCCGCTAGTCTGTTTAACGTCAAATTAGTGACATGATGAGTTTTAGACATTTTGAAAAGTTGTTATGAGTTTAAGAGAAATACTGAAAACTCATGGTGAGTTTTAGACAATTTCCCTTTTGTTTTATAAATTTCAAAAGCCAAAATACTACAGTACCTATTTGGGAGGGATTTTGCACAGTGGCTTCTGGTGTTACATGAGATGAAAAACCAAGAACTTGTGAAGCATGTTTGGCTCYCGAAAAGCAGAAAATAGACTTACTTGAGCCAAAAAATCGATTTTCTAGTGAAACTATATTAGATAAGCAGCTCACTCAACTCAGTTTAATCAATGCAGAAGCCTTCCCAAACAGGCCACACTTGGGTCGGGTCTGAATCAATTTGGGATTGGGTAGAATATCCCAGGTCCTGGAACCAGAACTGACCCAATTGGTTCGGGTCTGTCAGATCGGACCGAACCCTAACTAAGCCCTCCAAATGCAAGGTGTCAGGATCCACCACAGTCTCCTCATCCTCAATGGGCTCAAACTCTCACACCCAGCCCTTTCCAAAAACGAATCACCCACCTCTCTTGGCCCACAAAACACCTTTTAACCAGGCCCAAATGCTATTTCACCCACCTCTCTTGATCATGGCCCCATAGCACCCTTTATCTGGGCCCAAATGGTATTAATAGGGCCACTAAGAACTTGAGCTTTGGGGCGTAGTCCCAAAATCATTACAACTTGGCCCGTTCATGTTTTGTCTCCATCAGACCCTAAAACCATAACAACCCAAAGCCATAAACACTTTTAGGGTTCGACTAGTTGCTCGTGTGGAAGGGCTTTCCCATAGGGCTTTTTGCCTTTGCAAGGTGGGCACCACCAAGACAGTCTATATGCAATGTTTGGTTRAAAGCCCAGAAAGCCCACATTTGTTGTCCTTCAGCAAAATAACAACTTTCAGTTAAAACTTCTCTTAGGGGCTTATTCAAAGCACTTCAACCAAAGTTTAACCCTTCCCAAATAGGTACTAAAATCGGGGCTTTGTGCTTTCGTATTTTAGGCTCAGTTTGAAAGGAGTATAAATACAAATATGTATTGTACAAATACATACAAAATAATACAAAATACATGGTTTTGCACTCTACATATTTGTATTTAACTCCTTCCAAACTGAGCCTAATATGTAGACTACAAAAGCTTACATTTTATATCATTTTGTATGTATTTGTACTCCTTCCAAACTGAGCTTTTGGAAGGAGTATAAATACAAATATGTAGAGTACAAAACCTTATTTTGTATGTATTTGCGTTGTACATATTTATATTTGTACTCTTCCCAAACTAAGCCTTACGCTCAGTTTGGAAAAATGATAAATGCAAATGTGCAGTATAAATACATACAAAACAATACAAAATATAAGGTTTTGCACTCTACACATTTGTATTTGTACTCCTTCCAAACTGAGTCTAAGGCTTTTGGAAGGAGTACAAATACAAATTTATAGAATGCAAGACTTTGTATTTTGTATGTATTTGCACAGTATATATTTGTATTTGTACTACTTCCAAACAAACTGAGCCTTAAAAATAGAAATCCAGAAGTTTATCCGAACGTAATTAGCATTAGCTACAACATATTCTGTTTTCTGCAAACTACACGAACACATACACATAATTAGCCAAGTTGTGTGAGTTCCATTCTTGATGAACTCAATAGGAATTCCCTGGCTATGGTTTAATTTACTAGAAGTAGACATTAAAAATCGAGGCTCAGTTTGGAAGGAGTACAAATACAAATATATAGAGAGAAAAACCTTGTATTTTGTATGTATTTGTACTCCTTCCAAACGGAGCCTAATTAACAATCCTAATAGCCATACTGTGATACAATGTAGATGTAGATTTGAAACTTCATTTGGAAATTTTTGTTTTGTCCCAATGCTTGTGCATTTGAGAAATATAGAAAACTTTCCTTCCAAGTTCCAACCATGCATTTGGCACAATAAAGTAGGCATAGTTGTTAAACTCAAAACCCACCAAAGCAATGAAATTATGGCCAGCATAAAATTAGCAAGTTCAACTATCGAGTTCACATCAGTGCCCCACAATGCCCCACAGCACATCCCAATCTTGTATTGAGAACATCTCCCGATGATTCCTTATCATCTCCCGTATTTATCATTAAGAGATATTTTCAATACAAAGGTCGAGATGTGCTGTGGGACGACCCTTTGGGAGGACATTTGATGATTGTTGAATTGGTTGAACTGAATAATTGGTTATGATGATCAGTTTGTCTTTGAGAGAACAAATAGTTATATACAGAAAATCATACAGAAATAAAGGAGTTCCTCCCTTATTACTTGTCCACTTGAAAAACTAATCAATAACCAAGAAACATCCCACTGATAAATTCAATAGCAAAAGGAAAAAACAACAGAGATAGATAGAGCTTTGACAATCTTTAGAGAAGTGAATTGTAATTTGCTTTGTTGAGCTCTTTTCATAAATCATAATTGCTTTATTACAGGTTTTGGAAAAAGAACCAGATGAAAATTACTTCAATCCCTTGTACTTCATTCCCATGCACTGGAATGCTTGGATGGACCTGTTTAGGGCATTGTTTGTGGGTTTTCAACAAGGTGAAAGTTTCGAAGAGAATTTACTCTCATTACTTGAAAGGTTTGTGGGGCTCCTCATCCCTGGTGTAAGTTCCCATTCTCCAAGAGACTATATTAATTGCGCAAGGCTATGCCCAGACCACACCTAATCACTGTTGCATGATTGGCAACATGGATGAGACTTCATGGAGTTGTGATTATGTTTATCATAATTAATAAGAGAAGTTTGGCCCAAATATCTGTGAATTTGTAATTCATTCATAAATTCTGATTTATTTTTGTTTCAAATTTTATCTTAGGCTGAGTTTGAAAGGAGTACAAATGCAAATATGTAGAATATAAAATTTTATATTTTGTATGTATTTATGTTGTACATATTTGCATTTGTACTTCCAAAATGAGCCTTATGTTATTTGATTGCATTACAAATGAAGTAAAATAAAACCTGAAATAGAATGAAGTAAAATTCAAAACAAAATTAAATCAGAATTTGCATTCTTTACATTTACACTCCTATGCATTTGTACTAGTATAAATAAAAACTAGCGAGGGGTGCCCATGCTCAACACGGGCGAGTAATATCGAGTACTTGAGAGTAAAAAAATGAAGAAAAAGAATAAATAATACAAAGTGATTAAAAAACTATTATATGTACTAATCATGGGCAATGAAGTGTAAAATTAAAGACCAAATAAAATTATAAATTATAAATAAAAGAAAAAAAGCACAATAATTAAAAAAACAGTAACAACCCAAGGAAAATGTATATCGATTTACTCGATCGATGCATTACTTCCTTCACTCTCAACACAATGGGACGAACCCTCAAAAGAAAATGCCACCTCCATTCTATTGCAACAGATCTCTCTCTGGTTGGATCCTAGATCATTTTGGCCAAAGAGGGTAGAGTGGCTTCACTATTGCAATGACATACCAGGATCAGGATCTTTTCATAAAAAAGGCTTCAATGTACCCGATGGGGTCAGGGATGGGAATTGCTTTGGTGGGGCAGGGACAATGATTAATAGCAATCCACGATTGGGGTCGGGGTCAAGGCTACCCCAACCCTGATTATATATATTAAATATATTATTATATATATGAAATTATTTACATCATTTATATATATATATATATATATATATATTAAAACATATTTAAAATATAGTTTATATTTTATAATTTTTATTTATTTTAAGTAAATTTATTTTTCAAAAAATAATGTTATTTAAAAAAAATTGAGGATTCGGGTCCTTACGGAAAACCCATCCCTGTCAAGAATCGAGGATGGAGATTAATTTCAGAATTGGGGTTGGGGAGGGAGATGTCCTGTTGCCATTTGTAAAAGTTCTCGCATATCCAATAGATTACAGAATTCATCAGTAGGATCTTCAAGAAAATTTTCAGAAATAGTACTAACAAGAGTATAACCAAGAAGAAAAAGACATCAATCTTTGCATTAGCCAAAACAGTTTCACTAAAAAGAGTACAATTAAATAAGAGAAATCTAATTATTTACGGTATCCTCATGCCTCATCAAAGCTAAATCACGTGGAAAGGAATGCAATTCATTAATTACATCCCCACAACCATCCCTCCAATCGGTTTATGCTCAAAGTTTTTAGTATCTGGTAAAACAGTTGCCTTTGTGTTAATTGTAAACCAGTTCTGTTTGCCTATTCTGCAATATCTTGGTTTGCTCCTTTGATAGATAAAWTAGAATCAAAACAGAATTGCATTAATAAATAATAGCCCGTGGCAAAGTAACATAGTTTTACCAATATATTGACAATTTTAGAAGTGCTTAAGTAATCCAATGAAAATAATTGAAGGAAACATTGAGAAGGGCAAGCTTTAGGTTCTGTAGCTCTTGTGGAATTGGTTTAGTGAGATTATTATCGGAGAGATCCTGACGAGCATGAGGCGTTAGACAGAGATAATTCTACGAACACCCGTTCGATCGAGTTTGATTCTGGACTCGATAAGACTCACATAAAATACTAGGCGTATAGCCTCAACAGTAGAGAGAATTGATGAAAGAAATTCTTGTGTTATTAAAGCTTAAAACAGAAATATTTATAATGTATCAAAACATTGACAAACTTGTAAAGTAAAACAACTAGGTAACTCGAACTTGTAAAGCAACTAGGTAACTTGAACTTGTAAAGCAACTAGGTAACTCGAGCATGCCTTCGATGTCCGCCGTTTGATGCCCATCATCCAACGCCAGGTAGCGTAAGGAATCCTCTAGCATGGGGACTCCTCTCTAAGGCGGAGCTGGCGCCGGTTGGTTCGGGTGGTTACGTATTGGTACTCCATCATTCACCCCCTCTTGGAAAGAACTCGACCTCGAGTCATGATCAGGGTATGCAAATATGACCTCAGGCAAATAATCATGAAGATCAGCAACATTAAACGTTTTGGAAATACCCATGTGATTTGGCAAGTCCACTACGTAAGCATTGTCATTGATCTTCTTRAWAATCTTGTACGRACCATACTTCCGAGGCTTTAGCTTGCTATGCTTCCCAACGGGTAATCGCTCCTTCCTTAAGAATACCATGACTTCATCACCAACTTCAAACACCTGGTACCTTTGATGCCTGTCAGCTGCAAGTTTATACTTCTCATCGGCCCTGTGAAGTTTCTACTGTACTTCCTCTTGTACTGACTGAATCTGACCTGCCAACTACTCCGCTGTAGTACTAAGACCCGGTACCCTAGGTAGCTTCACCAAATCCAAAGCATGGTTAGGTACTTTCATAAAAACAATAGAAAATGGGGATCTACCTGTAGAGCTATGAACTGCATTGTTGTAGGCAAACTCTGCTTGAGCTACAGCAAAGTCCCACTGCTTCGGCCTCTCTCTGCAAATACTGTGGATCAGGTTACCCAGAGTTCGATTCACCACTTCTATCTGTCCATCAGTCTGCGGATGAGTTATATTGCTGAAATTCAATGAAGAGTCAAATARCCTCCACAAGGTCATCCAGAAGTGACTTAGGAACCTCGTATCTCTGTCTGACGTAATGGTCTTAGGCACCCCATGTAAACGGCCAATCTCCTTGAAGAATAGTTTGGCTGTTGTTGTTGCATCCGCAGTCTTCTTACATGGGAGGAAATGTGCCATCTTAGAAAACCGATCAACAACCACAAACACGGAGTCCAAGTTTCGTGGAGTTTTCGGCAAGCCCAACAACCACAAACACGGAGTCCACAAACACRAAGTCCAAGTTTTGATATGCATAAATAATATCATATATAATAATATATATTTAATATATATAATCGGGGTCGGGACAGGGCAGGGACCTCAATCCCCATCCCTGACCGTAACCTCGACCGAGGATTCCTATTAATCCTATTCCTCATCCCCACCCTGCCAAAGCAATTCCCATCCCCAACCCGATACGTTGGGAAAGTCGGGTTCCCATTGGGGATGGGGGAAATTGCCATCTCTACACATGATATAGATAACTAACGACTACTAATGGTAAGTGATAAATTTGCACATTTTGAAAATTTAGGTATTAGATTGACACGTTTTAATGTTTAGGAACCAAAGTA